ACAACCAAAGACATGCAAGTGAGATACATTTGGCTTCCGCCCTTTTAAAAGTTCATACGGTGTTTTGTTTAGAATGGGACGAATGAGCACTCTATTCAAAACATAACATATCGTACTTATGGCGTCGACCCAAAAATATTTTGGTAGTTTACACTCATTGATCGTTGTTCTCCCTAATTCTTCTAAAATACGATTTTTGCGCTCCACAACCCCATTTTGTTGAGGAGTACGTGGAGCCAAGAAGTTGTGATCAATTCCATGATTATCGCAATATTCTTCAAATAAATGGTTTTCAAACTCACCTCCTTGGTCACTTCTAATTGAGACAATGTTTGTGTTTAATTTATTTTGGGAAAGCTTAGCAAATCTTTCGAAGGCAACGAATGTATCGCTCTTACTAGCTAAGAAAATAGTCCAACAAAATCTAGAAAAGTCGTCCACTATTACAAACCCGTAATAGTTTCCACCTAGGCTTTTGATTCTAGATGGCCCAAATAAGTCCATATGGAGAAGCTTGAGAGGTCTCGTAGTTGAAACAATATTTTTGGATTTAAAAGAGATCCTTGTTTGCTTTCCCATTTGGCAAGCATCACAAAGGTGATCCTTGGTAAACTTTATTTTGGGGAGACCTAGGACTAGATCTTTTGAGACCATTTTATTTAGCAAGTCAAAGTTAACATGTGCTAAGATCCTATTCCATAACCATGAGTCTTCACTCATTATTATGAGGCATTTGTCACTTGTTAACGATACTTCATTCAAGTCTAGCATATAGACATTGTTCACTCTTAGGTCGTTAAACATACTCTTCTTATCATCATTATGCACAATTTTGCAAAAATCTTTTGAAAATGATACATTGTATCCTTTATCGCATAATTGGCTAATGCTAAGTAGATTATGTTTAAGATCCTCGACAAGCAACACATCAGAAATAGTAGCGGAAGAAGGGTTACCTACACTACCTTTACCAAGTATTGCACCACGATTGTTATAACCGTAGGTTACATACCCTTTCTTCTTTTCCATGAAGTCGATGAAGAGGGATATGTCTCCTGACATATGTCTTGAGCAGCCACTATCGAGAACCCATCTTCTCTCGGTGGTCTCAACACATTGTACCTATAAAAAACAATCAACAAGAGAAGGTACCCAAAGGCTTATCGGGTCCTAAATTGTGAGTGACAAAGTGGTTGCATTTGGGCAACCATTGATAGATGCCTTTAGGAACTAAGAATCTCCTAAATCGGCACTTAACAATGGAATGTCCCTTCTTACAACAATATAGACATTAGAAATCAATATTTGGATTACCTTTGCTATCATTATCTCTTATAACATATTTGTACTTTTGATATGGATTAACCATACTTTTTTCGAAAATTTGATTTATCGATGGCAAAGGTAATTTTGGGCTCTAGAGCCTTGTTAAGTTTGTCCTTTAGGTTCCTAACTCCACCTTGCCAAATATAACAAGTATCACACCCACAGTTGATTAATTTACTTCTAAGGTCCTCACAACCCGCTTTAGTACTTTCCACCATGGATGCCTTAAGTGCCTCAAGTTTCCTTTCGGACTCTTGTATTTTGTGCTCTAGATGAACAAATATTTGTTTATTTGAGGCAAGCCTTTTAAAGGCTTCTTTTGCTTCTTGGTGCAAGGTATTCAATGCGGTTTGTAATTCGAAGTGAGACATACTAGAAGAGTTTTCATATTTAGAGTGTCGTACCTGTTTTTTCTTGTTCTTTTGATGAGCGGAAAGAAACAAGTTTACGACTTCATATTCATCACTTGAGCTTTCATCTTTGAAGGAGTCGCAATCGCTTTCCCAAGCTATATATTCTCTCCTCGGCTTTGATGACTTCTTTTGTGAGTTATTTGATTCCTTTTCTTTGCCTTTTTCGTTCATCGGACAATCCGGATTATAATGACCGGTCTTTCCACATGTGTAACACGACCCTCTAGTTTTATTTTTCTTGATGTCATCACTTTTAGAGTACCTAGATTGCCTCCGGAAGTTGACTAGATTCTTCTCGGAGTGTTGGATGCCATTCTTTTTCACATAACGGTTGTAACGCTTTACGAATAGCCCCATGTCATCACTCCACGAATAATTACTATGCTCCTTGGATTGAGACTTCGAGGCGGAAGTCTTGAGAGTAATAGATTTCTTTTCTACTATCTTTGTTTTGTCGTTCTTTTCTTTCTTTTCATGTTGGTCGAGGCTTAGGAGCACTTGTTTGTCCTCTTGTAGCTTTCCGAATAATGTTGTTAGGTCCAAAATTGTAAGATCATTGGCTTCTTTGATGGTGGTTACCTTCGGCTGCCATTCCCTATTAAGACATCTTAAAATTTTGTTAGTAGCAACGTCATTGGCCACCGGCCTACCAAGTGAATGCAATTTATTGATGAGATGAGTGAATCTCTTTTGCATGTCTGCAATGGTTTCCTCTTGCTCCATGTAAAAGAGATCAAACTCTTGTGTTAGTGTGTTGATTCTAGCAAGCTTAACATCGTCAGTCCCCTCATGGGCGACTTGCAATGAATCCCACATGGCTTTTTCCGTTAGACAATGGGAAACCCGATAATATTCATCTACTCCTAATGAAGATATTAGAATATTCTTGGCTTTCCAATCATAGTTATATTTCTTTTCATCATCATCAGTCCATTGTGCTTCACGCTTAGGCACTATCTCATTATTCGCATTGGTCATAGTGATTTCTATTGGACCATTGAGAATAACATTCCATACTTTTCTATCTATGGAATTAATGTGCACCCGCATAAAGTCTTTCCAATAACTGTAACTTTCAACATTAAAAACGGGAGCTCTATTATAGGCCCATTTAGGTTCGTTAGCCATTTTCTATCAAACTTATATTTGAAGCACAGAGTTACCTGGTGCTCCTGATACCACTTTTTAGACGATGGCGCGGATCTAGAAGGGGGTTTGAATAAATCCTAATTAAAAAATTGATTCGGCGCTTACCAATTAAAAATTGGTTTTAAAAACTGTTTTAAATGTGAAAGCGGCCGTGGAAAATTACCGTCTATAACGAACCGTTATTAGAATACTGGATATGCATTTAGCCTATGGATTAAGATAATGAGAAAATTAGATTAAACATACTAGTCACACTATCAATTGATTTTACCACTAATTAGTAGGACTAGTTCCAATGCTCCACAATGCCCATAAAATATGCAAATAACCCAAGTGAACTTTGGTGTAGGCAATTTATCAAACACTTGGTGTACGAGACACTCTAAGTGAGCTTTGACTTGAGTAAGTAACTCTAAATTCCTTGTACAAAATATTATTCTACTAGAGTTCAAAACAGTGATAAGCACTTACTCAATTCAATACTAATTTCAATAGAATTGCTTATACTAAAATCACTTAATTTTTAAGCCAAAAATGAAAGTGCTGAAAATTAAAGGAGACAAAGATTTGTTGAGGCAGTTCCCCCGCCGTCCTCGCTTCGGGGTACGTCTGCCGTCAATTATAATAATAGAATTGAGATCAATATAATAGATATCACCTGTAGAATTTAAATGTTTATACAAGAATCGATAAGAAAAATATACAAACAATCCCTCTTGATGTTGATGATGTTATCGCTTCTTGCTGCTTGATTCGAGTCGAATCAAGACCTTCGATTGTTGTGGATAGACCTCCGATTCCAGCCCCTTTGTTGAACAACCTTCTGTTCTTCAAACCCTCGGCCCGACTGATCTCAAACACCAATAAATCAAACCTGGAACTCTCTTGCACACTTCAATGATTCCTGCTACTAGATTGACAAAGTCTTCCGCTTCTCAATCACCTTCGCTCAGCTAAAAGTTGGTAGAGATGATCCGAACCAAAAACCCCCAAATTCTCCGAATCTTGGAGGGCAAAACCTTCAAGATTTTATTCAAGAAAAACCTGCCACAAGTCTCCACCCGAACCAGATTTCCTATCAACGGATTTGGACCTTATCACCTTGAATAAACCACAAAGTACACCAAGAATTGTTGTGTGTAATTGTTGTGTTGTGAGCTGTTGAGAATGAAGATGAAGAGATTTGATGGCACCTATTTCACTTTTCTTGTTGGGTTGCAATTGACTCAAAAATTGAATTGTTAGTTATGAAATGAACATAAAACATCTATATATAGTAACCAAAGACTAACAGACATAACAACTCTTCAATCAAAGTGGAAAGACTTCAGCAACAACATAAACGCGTGAATGGTCGACCATAGCAGGACTATGCGTCGACGCATAGCCTGCAGTTTTAGGCATTTTTTAAAATCTTCAGAGTATGCGTCGACCATAGGTCAGCGTGCGTCAACCAGTGGGAAATTTCATACTTCATGCGCCGACCATGTGGGCGACCATAGGTCAGCGAACGCCGACCAGTGGCAAAATGAACTACTCCATGCGTCGACCTATGGTCGACTCAAAGCCTGTAAATCTGCAAAAATACATATCTTTGTGGTTTTAATGCATCTAGATGTAACAAATGATCTTCCACATATATTACATTTAATATGACAAGTTAGATGGATATAAGAAGGATATCAGAGGTGAAGTATTGCATTTGTCTTATAGGAGTAGAGTCAAGAATAAACTGTTCATCCATGATTGCATTTTGTCATCATCGAAACTCAAGTATGTATGTTATATGAGGGTTTTCCCTCACACACATACCGGAACTCTAATAGTAAGTCTTCCGGTTTGTTGAATTTTTTGGTTTGTTCACCGGAAGTCTTTGATTAAGTCTTCTGGTTCATAATTTTTTGCTTTTGTTCACCATAAGTCTTTGATTAAGTCTTTCGGAACATACTTTTTACGTTTGTTCACTGGAAGTCTTTGACCAAGTCTTCTAGTTCATGTTTTTTTTAATTTTTAATTTTATTTATTTATTCATTTATTTTGTCAGTGGTGCACACACGAGGCAGAGATGGTAGGATCCCTTCTCATAGACTAGGATGGGGCGAGTCAACGAGAATGGCTGAAGAAGAGCATTTTGATGCATCTGCATCAGCATCTGGGCCTGTTGGATATCCAGGAGGACCGTATGATACCTCTCTTTTAGTTAAGTACGAACATCATGTTGCTAGACATATATGGTTCGGTGAGGTAAATAAACAAAAAATATTTAATATTTAATAAAATTCAAATTTTTAATATTGAATTTTATAATATATTTACTTTTAACTGTTTTCAGGAGAGAGGGTCGAAGAAAGAGTTAAAGGTAGCGGGACATGGGTTGAAGTTGATTCAGAGGGTTCCACTACAACTACCCAGAGAGATGGAGGGTTGGATATCTAGGTCTGGGCTAGCTTCACTCTAGAGAACCAGTTTAACAAAGATATACACGAACCTGGTTTCCGCATTTGCAAAGAGATGGCATCTAGAGACATCTTCATTTCACATGTTATTTGGTGAGATGACGATTACTCTGGATGATGTATCTTTCCTGCTTCACTTGCCCATCAAGGGAGTCTTTTGGATCCCTCAAGATATCAGTGAAGCACTTGTTGTTGAGTGGGTTGTTAATTATTTAGGAGTGTCACAGAGAGTAGCGCAACAACAAGTATGTGACTGCAGGGGTTCCTACTATAAGTTGGAGTGGTTATAAGATTGATTCGTAGAGCATAGAGTTGCATCAAGATGGGATTATGCCACTAGCGCTTATTTGCTGATGTTAGTGGGTTCCACTATTTTTGCGGAGAAGACATTTACGCTTGTCGAGGCACGATACCTCTCACTATTTATAGACTTAGATGGCTTATCAGGATACAGTTGGGGAGCAGGTGTGTTGGTTACTCTTTATAGATGTCTCAGAGATGCTTCTATGTTCAGTTGTAAGTAGCTTGGTGGTTATCTGACTCTCTTACAGGTATTTATTTTAATTATATTTAATTTTAATTAATTTTATCTAGTATATTAATTTTATTTATCTAGTTTATTATGTTATAATTAATTATTTAAAATTTAGTAACAATATTAATTTTGTAACAGTGCTGGATTCATGAGTATTTTCCAACACTTGGAAAAAAAGGAGAGAACTGGATACCAACTAATAATGTGGGTCTCCCTCGAGCGACGAGATGGTCCTATAGGCAAGGTGCCTTGAAGGTGGATGACTTGCGGCCTATTCTGGACGAGCTGACACATGCCGATGTCATATGGCGCCCATTCGAGAATCATAGAGTATGGCGTCAGTTTGATGAGTTATGTCTATATAGGGGGTGTTTGAGGTGGGGTGACACTATTGTTCCATACTTGCCTGACAGATGTATGCGTGAGTTTGGATACAGGCAGTATGTTCCACATCCACCTCTTGATTATACGATGGCTGGTGATATTGATGTTGATTGGATTAGTTACCATCAGAGCGTTCAGGACGTGATTCGTCCGACAACACCGGCCACCACCCCATATGAGACAGATGATGGATATCTTGAGTGGTATTATCGTGTCTCGCATCCTCGTCTGGTACCGCCACCCTATCATGATGCGCCATCAGAGATGCCAGTTCCGGTATATGAAGCAGGATCATTTGATCCTAGCTGGGCTCGTGTGTCTTCATTGATTCATCGTTATCTTCAATAGGCTGGTGCTGAAGAGGATGACCCACAGTTTACTGATTTGTTCGAAGCTTTACATATTGCTCGATCACAGTGACTTATATTTATATTTATGGTTATATGTTAACTTTTAGACTCATTTGACCTAATGGTTTATGCTTATGTGTTAACTTTTAGACTCATTTTACCTAATGGTTTATGTTTATGTGTTAACTTTAAGACTCATTTGACCTAGTTGGTTTATGTTTATGTGTTAACTTGTAGCCTGAAATAAAAAATGAATAACATAATTCACGATTCATGTTTTGAAATTAAAAATGAATAACATAATTCACGATTCATGTTTTGAAATTAAAAACGAGTAACATAATGCATGATTCATGTTTTGAAATTAAAAATGAGTAACATAATTTATAATTTATAATGCGTTGGTAATATAGGCGTAAGTTGTTGCCAATGTTGTAGACGTCCTGCAAATCCTAGCATCCAAGATGTTGCTGTTGGAGAAAGAAACTTCTTCCAATCTACTATCACTGGTGGCAATGGAAACCCTGCTTTCATGTTTACCTAAATAAAAAAATAATCAAAATATTAAGTAAAATAACGAAAAAAGAATTAGGGTTAATCGCATTATCTAAAAACAACTAAGTACCTGAACTCAATGGTTTCTGTTTATAAAACCAATGCAGTAAATTGCTACATTCGGTGAAAATGAAGTTGTCAAAGGGAATAAAGTCCAACATTCAATTCCTAAACAGAAAAGTACAACATTATAACGATTAGATATCACGTAACCCATATCTGGTAGATTTAACCATTTATGTGGTGGTTGAGGACCAAATTCCTCCATCATCAAAGATTCTATCACTACTGCTAACTGATCAGTAAATAAATTGGCATACAAACTTGATCTTTCATTATGTATTATTTTCAACCCCAAGTCTCGACGAACCATTGGCCAACCATCTTCACCATATCCATGCAATGAAGCAATGACTCTAAATCCACAATTACCATCTGATACAACATTAACTACATCATCAATATATGACCTGATATGGTTAGGAAACTGAAGGATGAACTGCTTAGATGACTGTGAAGATTGTGATAATTTCGAATTCTTCGAAGCCTGTGATGGTTGAGATTCTTTTGTGAAGAATGTGATAATTTTAACTTCTTCGAAGTTTATGATGGTTGAGATTACCTCTGTGAAGATTGATATGCTTGATCAACATATTCGTGATACGAAGGGTCTCTATAAACATCATACCCTACTGGTTTTTTGTCTTTCTTCTTGAATCCCCCTTTAATTTTTATTTTCTCAGGTGGTGGACACATAGAAGTCATTGTGGGGAAGGCAAGTTCAAAAACCCTACTTTTTAATGCCTTTTTCCCAACAACATCCAGTGACTTAAACCTTTTCCATAACTCATATATTGCACTACTCATATCCACCTCTGATCCATCATCTACGTCTTCGTCCTACTTAACTTCCATACTTAGTTTTCTCTAATGAACATGCACAACATCTATTGGTATCGGTATACCATCAATTCTATATCCTGTCAACTCACAAGCACAAGGTAATCTGTAGGTTGTTCTAAGAGTACAGCGACATATTTCCTTGTTAGTTCCAACATAATAAACTCGTTTTAACTCTTCAGCAATGCGTCTCAATGCATCTCGAGACACCGAACCACGTAAGTTATTATAAAATGGACTTACGTGGCCATGTTCAACTTCATAAAAACTCTTTTGAAAAGAAGCTCTACTATTGCCCAATTGTAACTTTAAGTTGTCATTCATAGCCTCCCAACATTTGTCCATGTCACCAATACTGTTCCCCAACATTTACTTTAACTTCCAATGAGCAGACTCAACCCTAAAATTAATACATATTAAAAATATTTTAAAAAAATTCAAAAAAGATATACAATTTAGAAATACTAAAAATAAATACATATCGATTAGTCGTGGTGTTACCCAAATGTAACACTCAATTAATCCATGCTCCAACAAATCTTTGTCTATGTGGTGTCAACCATGTGTCCTTCACATAATCAATAAATTCATTACAATCAACACACGCCTGCGCAAGTTGGTTCAACCTTTGATCATACTCAACCTCATCACTAGCCCATACAACATCCGTCCATAATTCGTCAATTTTCTTTTGTATGTCACTAGCCACATATTGTTTCTGTTTTGCACCAACATTCTTGTTAATATGAAATCTACATAGCAAATTGATCGACCTTGGAAATACAATTTCAATGGCTTTCATCAAAGCAAGATCTCTGATAACGCGAAATCATATCATTTATTTGACTCGACTTACATGAATTTATTTGCGATTATTGTTAATTTATCTTGATTTATGTTCTATTATACGGTTAATTTACTATGTTTTGTAGATTGTGGAGAATTTGGATTAAAGAAAGAAAATAAGAAGAAATGGAAGGAAAAGAGAGAAGAAAGAAAGAAATAGAGAAGAAAAGCAAAAAAGCAGACTTTGTGAGTGTGACGTTCATCACAGCTCCATGACGCCCGTCACGACCATCACGGTCTTCATGCACTATCACACTCGTCATGACCATCACGGTCGTCATGCATCAAAGATTAGAATAACGTTCAAAACAGAAGTGGCCACAAACACCCTCAACTTAACTTCTTCCTACACTTTCTCCACTAACTGCCCACTACAGGAAGTTACTCCCACTTCCTCTATAACTCGTGCATAATCTCTGGAAGTTGAAAAATGAAATATCTCTTATAAATAGGCCTTAGATTCACAGTTTTGGGGGGAGCCTTCGACGTATCAAAGTGCTGTCAAAATTCCTATTGAAGCTATTTTTCATTCTGCTGTTATTTCTTTCCATTTTCCTTTAGTTCAGAGCATTGTATTTTTTTCTGCACTTTTATTTCGCCATAGTAGAATCCTTCCGACATTGTGGAGGACTACTCAAGAATTCAATTTCAATACTACTTTCCAGGTTCTTATTAATTTAATATTTATTTTATTTCCTTCATTATGCATGTTATATCATTCTGTTATTTATGTTTACTTCCGTTTGCATTAATTACCATGTCTAGCTAATTTAGTTTTATCGGTATGTACGCAAATTAGTAGGACGAGATTCGACAATACCCGGTGCACCTTATCCTTTTTACAAACAATTTTCCGTCGTAGTTTTTAATCTAATTTTATAAATAAACCTTTGTCACAACAGTGAGAAGCTATTTACAACAGTTTTTCCATGAGAGTGGGAAACTTATTAAGGTTCGAGCCGGCATGTGAAAGCGTGGGGTTTGAACCGAATAGTAAAAACTAGGCATTGATTTTAAATAAAGCGAAAGCGCTTTAAAAAAATCAGAATTTATTTATTTTCAAAAAGTAATTTTAACCTTGAATGGGACTGCGACAACGTACATTCCGCCTTAGAATTATGACTGGAGTTAACAACCAGCGTGAGACAAAGGTCTTTAAACGAGTATTTTCTCCTAAAAACCATTTGCAAAAACTAAAAAGCACCGGTGACATGTCGAATCCCCGATAACTAAGGCATTACATACCGATATCCCTTTACCGCTTTTCCCTTAAAACTAATAATCTTTATTTCCTTTGTATTAAATTTCATTCGCATTTAACTTTCCGAATTCCATTAGTCTTAGCTTTACGTCGTAACAATAGATAACGGTAGGTTGACATTGGTCTCTGTGGGTTCGACAATATTTTATATTACTTTGATATTTCCGTGCA